TTCCATACAGTCAATAATTTACGAGTAATGAGATGGTCACGTTAGATGAACCACCCTGTATATCGTGATAGCAATAGTGTTCGATTGAAAACGGGGGTAGTTTCGGGTATTCCAGTTCCAGAACTTCGTATTTAAAGCTACCTGAGCTTTACGCCAATATCGAACGTGTTATTTGTCCTCGATGCCTGAGCTCCAGACACTCCTGAAGCAGTATCATCCCTTCGAAGTGGGCCATTGCAATGTCTCCCCTCCCCATACCCCACGCACTTTCAGCTTATACCTATTGCCACCCTGCTCGGTAGATTCCTCCGTCTTTCCTAGCAGAAACCTATAATCCCAGAATTTTTAGTCTGGGCTCCAGGAACCGGAAGTTAAACAGAAATGGTAACTGCGTCGTGCAAGAACGAGACGCAATGACTGACTGGCTGCCTTTCGTGTTTATTTTTTTTCCCACCCTTTTTTCTCTCTCTCTCTCTCTCACACACACAGTCTTTTCACTCGCCTGCTTTTTAGTGAAGACATTCAGAAATTCCGCGGGCGTCCTTGCTCCACTTCAAGCGCGATGGAGCCTCGGCTGAATTGTAACCCTTCGTAGAGACTTCGCCGTGGGATTAACGAGTAAGGTTGCCCGGTCTTGTTTGCCCTTTTAATTCTTGGACAAATTCTGCGGCGAATGAGAGAACCTGCACGCCGCGATTTTAATTGCTTCTCGCGGGCATCGCTGAAAATCTTGATTATATATGTACATTTTTCATGGTCGAGGGGTGAATTTGACCTCTGTGATATTTTATATCGTTTCGTGTTTTGTAACGTATTGTCGCTGTGTGAACGAGGGTCGTGATGTATTTTGTTAGTAAAAGAAATTTACAATCCGTGTGCTTATATGAAATTTAGCGTAGAATAGTAAACCCTTGATGAGTGTTCGAAGGCTTCTAGACATTGACAACTTGCACCAAAGTGTTGACACCTAATTGTTGTTTTACAAATCTGTGAACGAATGTGCGAATCATTATATTTGCCGCGGTAATATTCTCGAAATGTCTGACCGTGACAACTGTACACTACTTTTTTCTACCTGATGTTATACCGTCTTACGCTATTCCATCATCCGTACAAAGAGGTTGTTGTGTACTCGTTAGACCGTGTACAATTCTATTTTACCTCCCCTATTCGGCGTTGAACGCTTGTCCGACCACTGACTGGCCTATTCTACTTGTCTAACAATACACGGTAATGTTCTACGTGTTTGCGTAAGCAGGGACACATTCTACTTGCTCGATCATACGTGGAATGTCGGTTTGATAGATTTATCGGATAGTAACTCACCATTCTTGTGCAATCCGATGTGATTACGTTCCGCTCGTTTAACTACGAAATTGTTATTGAACTACATATTTACATAAACTACCGACGTCGCGTTTGCTTTACCGGCCGTCTGCCCTTCCGTAAAGTTATTTCACTTGAAGCTACGTGATGTTACACTGCTCGGTCCTCAAACAAAAACATTTATCCAACCGTAGATGGTCCTCGTGTCTGCACACAGACGGTCACACTCTACTTGCCCAGCTTCTTGTTGACCTACATTAAATGGATTCTACTTATTCAATAACCGACTGCATCTGCACGACCTTAAATGGTAGCAAATATTTATACTATTATAGTTGTCTAACCACATATGGACTTACTCTACTCACAGAATTTCACTGAACGATATAAATTTCTGAACCTTAATTAAAGGGAAATGCTACTCGTCAACCCATGTACAAGCCAATTCCACGTGTCGGTTAGAAATAGATCACGTTCTACTTGACTAATGACGCGTACTTTGGTTCGCTGTACCTGCTCGTGCACATTCATCTCTTCATGGTCTGACCTACACTGGTCAATTCCACTTGCATACATAAAAACCAACTGTACTCATACTTCGACTGTCTTATTCTTCCGTGACCCCTCTGAGTCTTTTATAGTACAAGCGAAATTTCGCGGTTAAATGTATCGAAAACGAATGGATTGCTATTTAGAAAAATCTTTCAACACCCAACTTTAAAAACTATTGGTTCCTGTAGTAGAGACCCTGGGAAGTATCCCCGAATATTTTCAGTTTTTTTGGAAACCCATAAGATAAAAAAAGTAAGCATAGACATAAAAGACCCAGGGGGTGACGGAAGGTCATGGAGGGATAATTGCACATCTCACATTATTTACACCTAATCTCTTAAATGGGAACAGCGGATCTATCCGCCTTTGTTTAAATTTTAGTATACAATTTGACGTCACAAAAGTGACCGTCAGGTCACATCACTTCAATGATATTATATGAAACAAAACCATTCTGTTTGCTTTGAATTAAGTTTAAAAATTGGCATTTGACCAGTTTTTCAAGTCAAATACTCCACAGGCAGAGTGCGAACATTTTTTCTCCCCTCAAGGGGTTAACATTCTACTTCCCAGAGAGCGCAGCCTCTTACGATTCACGGAAAATTCCAACAATACCTCAGTCGAGTTCTCGCACGTCGAGGCCCAATCAAAACTCAAGAAGCGAATTTCCCAAAGACCAGACTGGGTAGAGACGTTCCTCGTTCAATTTCCAGTCCGTTAAACTTCCGCAAAAAGTTTTTAGCGACCGCAGTTCCGCTCGTCCCGCCAGTTACGTTTCTGTAGCGAGCTGCGAGGTTCAGTTTCTCCTTCGCCCACGCGACGTATTCTACCTAATTGCGCTTTTGTCGATAACAGAGCGCCTCCTCCTCCCCATATCCTACAATCTCCCTCCATGCCCGTTTTCTATGATTGCATTCCCGTTCCATTAAAAAGGATGACGTGTGCGGTCGAGGCTAAGTTATCAATGGTACACAGTTAAACCTACTCTTTCCAAGAGAAATACTCAAAATTCCAAGCTCTATCACTGTACTAAACCTTATTAAAAAGTCAACGTTACACCTGGGGACCTCTCCTTCTCAGTGGCGAGTAGCTTTCAAACATTCATCGAGGATTTACTGTATCTCGAAAGCAAAGTCTGAAATGGAAAAATGTTACTCTACTTCTCAACTTAATTTTGCATGTAAAATCACCACCTGATGGGTTGTACTACGATTTTCAGGACATCTTGCATGAAACATCAAAATGAAAAAAAAAACCATGGGGAAGGTTGCCGAGGGGTGGTTTCACCCCCTAAAGTCGCGTCTCAGCTGATAAAAAAAAAATACGTATCCCTTATTTTCGACTGCTTCGTAATCCACTCATACCGTAACACAGTTCGTTCCGTTAATCGGTCCTCCCTGCACAAATGGACAGACGCCAAAATGTTCGAATAATATTCCTGAATTGGTTACACACCAGAGAAGATGTCCATCTCTCTGGATGGTTACGTCTCGCTTTAAATATGGTGTCTCTCGTCCCAGTTTCCCAATGATCGTTCCAGCGACCGAAAATGTAGTTCAAACCACCCCCTACCTCCCTCGATTTTACATTCCACGCCCTGCACACCGACGTGTCCGGTGTACCGAAACTCGACGAATCGAGAGGGGGTTATGGACAGAGATATAACATTCAAAACAATTAAGACACTGGTCTAGGAGGTCGTGGATCGGTACAACAACGGTCGCCTCGATATCGATCGTTGTACACGATCGAGCACGGATTTCGAAGGACCACGACTAATTCCCCCTAGTTTGGGGATCCATGTGAAACGGGGGAAGGATCGCTAGGTGTGTGTCAGCCGGCGCACAGACCTCCTGGAGGAGTCCAGCGACTTTAAAGTCAGCTGCAGCTGCGCCAGGTCAACCGATAACACGAAACTCGGCCAGTGGGTCAACGACAGATGAGGCCGGGTGCACCAGCACCGGAACACACACATACACAGACCTCCTTGTCCGTGTGGGGAACGAACCACTTTTTTTTTAGTTCTTTTCTTGTTTATTTTTTTATTCGAGGATTCCCCACTTTCTCCGCAACCTGACGGGCTTCTCTGACGTTTCTCCGTTGGTAAAAAAGTTTTCTCGCGATCGAATCGTTTTGAGAAACTTGATAATTTTGCGGTTCTCGTGGCGGCCCCGTGGTCTCGTCAGCCGAATTGACCCGATACACCCGTAAATATTGATCCTCGGTTGGAGAGCGGTCGGAGGGCGGTGGTTGAATTGTTCAAAGTGTACAGAATTGTATTATTCAGGTTTTTGTGGTATTTTTGTATTGAGTTGGGTTTTACAGGTCAATGTTTATGGGTTTATTTAGGGATTTATGGTGGGAGAATAGGAATTAGCGGATACGAAACGTAACCTTGGTGACGTCGAGCGATGAAATTAAAGGTAGAGCTTCGAGTTAATTGGAATTTTCGTCGAATGTGGCACGAGATAGAACTGATTGCGATTTGAAATTCATGTATCTGGGACACAACCCCTAGACATTGTGACCAACTGCTTTTTCCACTCCTCTCTACGTTTCTTCAATCTCGTTCTTTGTTTCTTCTTTAACCCTTTAGCGGAAGACATATTTAGGCGTAAAGGGTTAAAAATAAATTTAAACAATATGAAAAATAGGTTGGTTTAATATCGATATTTTCGACTTCAAAATAAAAAAAAACACAACACATATATATATATATATGTGTCGTAATTTTGAAATAACGATTCGAGGTTCTAGGCGTTAAAGGGTTAAAAGAACTTCGCCCAAATACATTCACCGTTACCGATCGCGCAGAATGAAACTCAGTGGTAGAAAATTGACCCGACAGACCAGTGAACATGTGTCCTTATTGGATACGGGTTGAATATCGAGCCGTCGAAGTCGTTCGATGTATTATTCAGATCGTGGACAATAAATTCCATCGATTCTCCCGGAATACACCAGAATTTCGTTTCAGACCGTGGCACGCCATTAGAGATTTCACTTGCACCAGTCCTCGGAGCACCAGAGTATAAATTCGAAAAATCCAAAAGATACATATTAAATTTCCCAAACGAAGCATTCGAAAGCCAATTAGTTTCCACGAGTCTTTTGGCTTGCAGACGGACAAGACGAAAGGGAAGCTAATCAAACTGGCGCCGTTCAAGTTCCCGTTCTCCAAAATGTCCAAGTCGCGCAGCAGCGACGAGAAGGACAAAGAGAAGGACAAGGAGAAAGAGGCGGACAGCGAGGCGGAGAAGGACAGGGATTGTGAAAAGGAGACGGAGAAGGTGGACGAGGAAACGGAGACAGACGGTGAGAAGGAGGTCGTCGCGAAAGACAACAAGGAACGAAACGACGAGAACGAACGGGAGGAGACGGCGAACGGTGGAAACGTTCAGCTGTCCGTGAGCCAATTGCAATTGGACGACGAACCGGAATCCAATTTAAAGTCACCGGTTTTTGGCGATTCGAACAGCCTGATGGTGAGAAATGAACCGGCCATACCGAGCTCCCCGCCCCCCTCGTACGAGCACGTGATCGAACAGGTGAGAAGATTTGGGTTGTTGTTCGCGAAATACACAAAAACATTCGTCCCCACTAGATATACAGGGTGAACCACGAATCAAGAGACCTTTAACGTGATTATAGCAAATTTTTTGTCAACTCTTTTCTTTTTCATGATTTTTCAAGGTCACCTTCAGTTTTCTTTCAAAATTCAATTTAAAAAAAAAGTAACACGTGTTATGTTATGATCGAAATGCCACGTTGCTGGTATTAATATTTAACTTTTACAGTAAAAATGTTGCGCAAAAAGTTGTAAAAAGTTGCGCTATGTATAGAATTCTTTTCGCTTCTGAGGATCTATCGACAACAATGTAATCCTGGAGTTTGGAGACGTCAAGAAAATCGTAGGACAAAGGGTTAGGTATTAAAACTGTCTTGACCCGTGTCTCTCTGTAGCCATGAAAATGTCGGCAAGAAGGTGGTTGAAACTACGAGAAACTGAGAAACAAACAATGTGTTTTTTTGATCACGGTAAATCTTATTCTTGATGCTAGAGAAGGGTGAATGATCAATTGGTCTCGTGTAAACTTTCCAGTCGTCCGTTTGAAAAAAGAAAAAACGAAAGGCATACAATTACTCTTTCTCTCTTCGAATCACGGTGAACGAGTGAAAGGGGCGGTGGGATAGGGCGTGGTCAAGCGTAACGGGGGCATGACCTTGAGAGCGTTCAGTTTCCTCTGTGATAGGAAACTGTTCCATTTTAGCGTAACTTGCCAATAACAGACGACACAAAAAAAAAAACAAATTATCTGTATGTTCGAATTTGAAACGTAGATACGAACAAGTGTATCGAACGGTAGAAAATTGATTTCCGAATTGTTATTTCGAAACGATATAAACTGCAATAATAACGGATGAACAACTTTATCGGATGATTTCAATATCACTAAATGGAGGAGGTAATTAATTAAAGAGGGATGTATATTTTTTTTTTGTAATAATCTATTTGGGTACAGTGTATTTCGATATCGTGAGTTCTGATTAATAATTTACCATGGCAGATCGATTAAATCTTCTCCGTAGGGGATCGAGTTCTCAGTAGCCTTCAACGATCGTTTAGCATTGATTGAACTAGAACCATCAAATCAATGCTCGAAATAACTCTGCTCCATCTGTATAAGATAAGATTATGCTGGGAATCAGTGCCACGTTTCGTCATGATTTTAGACGCGATTGGAGCACGCCGCCGAGGCGCAGAAGAACGAGACTGACAAGAACAATGGCAGCGAGGCATCGGAGGAGAACAAGAGAACGAGAGGGCCGCAGATCCTTCACAAATCGAGCAAGGAGTTTTACAGAGCCGTGGCCAAACAGTGGGGCATCACTTGCAAGATGAGCGACCACTGCAGGTGCTTAGATTGCCAGGTGCGATCCCCCTGAATATTTTAAACAACAACCTATCAAATAAAATTTCAGGACAACAAACATACGAAATATCATTTTCAGAATTGTAACTTCAGCCAATGAAGGGTTCCTGGGGTGATTTGAAACAATTTTTTCCTCAGCAAAAATGTTATCCGAGGCTTTGTTAACGAGATATTAACGAAAAACCCCGACCAATTAGAGCGCGAGTCTACTAAGTCTACAGAGCGCTGCGATTGGTAGCCAATGCAACCGTGGGAACTCGGCCAGTAGACACACCCTCTTATTGGTCAGGGTTTTTCGTTAATATCTCGTTAATAAAGCCTGGGATAACATTTTTGTTAAGGAAAAAGTTGTTTCAAATCATCCCAAAAATATAGTCATCTAGTTTTAATGTTGATATAGTTGGATATAGCATCACTGTTGCATATCATCGTATTGTATCACCATGCGATACATTTTCATACACGAGGCAAAGCTTGCCCGTCCACATTGGTACAATTGGATACGCATTTTAATATTTCTCATCAAGATCCCTTCTCGAACAAATACTCCAGCCCGAAATAAACATTCCAGAGTCGTTATTTCGACTGCGAGTTCGACAAGAACGAGCACCAGAAGACTGACGGCGGCCTAGGCGCCGGTACGCCGATGTTCATCTCGGAGGTGATGCAAGGATCCGGCTGCGTTCTCCTTTAAAACGCAGTGGCATCACAGGATAACGAGAGAGGATGATGATCCTTGCGACACCGTTCGGTGCTCTCGTGCAAGGACCAGACGTTCACGTGATCGCGCACAAAAACCAAGGCCGACTGTTCCGAAACATGAAAATGGACCAGAATATAGACGCAAAACGAACACACACCAGGACCTTTCTACCGTGGTCACATGACCCTTCGAAACGAAACGACGAATCGGTGATCGACTGCTGGATGCTTTGAGCTTGTTCGATTGTTCGAGGAAACGGTCTTCGTGAGTTTTCCGTTGGGGGGACTGGGTTAACGAATTTATACAGTGGATGGTGTTGGAGAGGCTGAATAATTAATAATCATTCCTTTCACTGGGGAAATATTAGATATATATATATATATATTTTGGAAAAAATGATGGATATTGGGAGAGATCTTGTACTACGTTGGGATGAGTCGCGTTTGAAACCGTGGATGTGATCTTATGGAAGTCGATAATACACGATAATCGCGAATAAATTGCCCGAACGAGAATTCACGAAGATTTTCGAGTGAGAAATTTGTATAAGCCATCGTGAGCATCGCGATACGAAGGTGAGTTTCTCTGTTTCGAACAACTTTAACCGACTAGACGCACACTCCGACGACAACCGTTGATGAATCTTACGCGATGATGTTTAAGCGAAATTCTGTCCGTCTGCGATAGCTCGTTAACGAATAGTTTCGATAAGCGTCGAATTTGCACAAGGCAAATGGATGAAGCTGATCAGGCAGAGGAGGATTTCGAAACCTATTAATTGCAGTCCGCTCGTTACATGTTTTCCACCGCAACAATAAAACAATTTAAATGATACTCGACTAATTTTGTATAGTTCACGTAGATCGAACCCGTTCGAACGGTCGAGATTGTACAAATATTTGTTGCCCTTTTGACACCCTGGTTAAAATACGATGTAACTCTCTTGACAGTGTTAGTGCCCAGTCGGTTGTTTATTGAACCGTGTTTTCCATAGGTAACACACATTCCCATCGGAAATTTGAATAATTAAACAGTATGTTAATTGTTGGTTTCATTCGTTGAATTTATTATTAATTAGTGAGCTGAATGGATTTACTGTCAACTTTGGTACAACAATTATTTCGAGTGTTTTACCATTCTGGTTAAAATACCTTGTTAAATAATGTATAATATGGGTTTTGTAAATATTGATTTCGTGAATTATCTGTTACATATTGCTTGCAAAATTTCTCTTTAACCGGGGAAATGGAAGAGTAGCATAAATATTAGAAAATGTAACGCAGTGTATAAATAATCGGCATAGGACTCGTCTCGAAATTTCACCACTCTTGTAAATGACTGTTTTCCGACCTGTTTGATCGATTCGTATTGATGTTTCTACGTCGAGGAATGAAGGTAAATTTAACTTTGAAGCACATGCAACGCAAAGAAAGTCGTTGAACGATGTGTAAACTGTAACATACTTTATAAATTGAATGCAAATTTGTATGGAGTATTCGTTTCCCAATTTATAATGCTCATAAGTAATATCTTCCCTTTAAACTTTTACAACGAATTTCGTGTTTCGACATAGGTTCTTCAACAACGACAAAATGGCCTATAATAAAACACTTCTGCCACAAGTATACTCTTTTACTCGCAAAAAAACACAAATTTTTCAAACATTTTCCGTGTAAATTTTCTGAGTGCTTGTCTCCATACAAGATCATATATTTGAGAATTCTATAAACAACACAATTCTTTGTTCTAATAGTAATTCTGTGTTCCCTAAACTATTTCTTCTTCAACGAAATCGTCAATTTCTATATACTTGCCAGCTGTATTCGAACAATTTCCACATATTCCACGCATCATTCTCGTGAAACATACTAAGAACAAGTATTTCTAAGTAAATTTTTCTACAAACTACTATAATATGTAAAATTTACAATTATTCCTGTTCTAAAACCCATACGATATATTCTACATTTACTACTTCAACCTATTCTGATGATTCAAACGAACAATTCTTCTGTAATTTTTCTACACATTAATAACGAGCGTGATAACAATCGATTCTGTCAAATTAGAATGTCAATAATATTTCCAACGTATATAATTTTCGATTTTAAAACCGGCCTTTTCCGGTCTCGACTTTCCTTTCCCACTATTTTCATGTCATCGAAATGTAGAAACTTCCACATGATCTATTCGTCGATCTCGTTCCTCGATGTAGAAAATCACTGGATCGGTTCGAGCGGTCCCTTTGATTTCCCCCGTGCGACCGATGCACGCGTAGGTAGATGTGTAATTAACGATTTGTAAACTACCGATTTCCGGCGGGACTGGGTCCGAGGAAATCGCGAACTCGTAAAACACATGAAAGTATTATAGATCGAGGCGTCGAGTACGCGTACTCAAACGTCTCGCGGTTTAGCGGAATATACACGCGTGCCGTAAACATTATTTGTTTTGCAGCTATACGATGGATTGATAGAGTTGATGCTTTCACTCTCGAAAACTGTTCGAAACGATCATTTCGATCGAACGGTTTTTTTCCGTCACCTTGATTCACTTCTGCTGACGCTTTCGTGAATCCGTGGACAGGAAAACGAACAGAAAATATTACGTTCGAGCAATGGACTAATGATTATATCAGTAGCTCTCTATATAGAGGATTATTCAACGATTAACGCGATGCGATTAATACTTTTTCGATCGTTTGCCGATTTGAACGAAATATACGTACGAACCTTCCTGCATCGAGGAGACGGTTGAACCTGGACGAACGAGTTCGAAGTGTTTTCGAAATGTTTCGAATCGAACACTTCGTTCCTTGAACGGTTCTAGAATTTATGCTCGCTTCAACGTCGAGCAATCACAGCGACCGAGATGTTAGATAGATGAGAGAGAAACGACGAATTATAACGCGACTCGATCGTCTGGTATACGGAAAGGGTACAGATCAGTGCAACGAAATATAATAGAAGTGAATAGTCTTATTAGACTTAATACTTTTTCATCAGAATGTCCATTAATAGACTGCTTGATTGTCAGTATTGACAAGGAACTCATTAATTGACCTTTTGGATTGAAAAATAATTTATTACATTAGGCCTTATTGCTTCATGATTGTAATTTACAATTGTCAGCTGTTCAGCAATGGATTTAAAGAAACGTATTCATAACCCACCTATAGGTGAAATTAAAGGTGAATAAGTGTAAATCGTTGAATTGATCTGACTCTCGCTGTTGATTGGACATCGGTCGATTAAATGCGAAACATAATACAGTACCTGCCTATACTTGTCTTTTCAAGATACTGTTCTTTTGTATCTCGCGCCGAAAATGATGAAAAATGGAACACGAACAATACACTATTCCCGCGGTGTGTACAAAATAGCGAACCCTGTGAACTACCCCCGACGCTCCTTCCCCCAACTATTGCCAAATATCAGTTCTTTTTTCTATTGGTGAGAAGAGCATACTTTTTGTACGACCTCCAATCTTCTTTCCTGTTCTGGTGCGATGAGTGATTCTTGTCGGTCAATGGCGAAAAAAAAAACAATTATTTCACTGTGATTTATTTGCTTCAGAATAATGACCTGATTGTGGAAACAACAGAAATACAATTATTAGATTCTCTGTGGGTCATCGAAATCAAAGATTGTTACGGGTGAAATTCGTTCTTCTATAACGCAATTTTTCACTTTAATATTAAATCACGAAACATATTGATGTCTGCAAATTGGTTGCAGACAGTTAGTCTGCTATTTTGAGCAACAAGAACAACTCGTCGCTCTGTCATGAGATCTATTTCACTAACGCCCACGGTCATTTGAATTTTTACACCCGGTACATGGTGCACGTATTTCATTTACGATTTAATGAAGTCCTTTGAAGCTTGCGTATGTGTGTGCGTGGGAGGAAATGAATTAGAAACTAGGAGAAGAATAGAAAGAAAGAGATACTGTGTATGCAGCTAGAGAAAGAAGGAGAAAAAAGGTGAGATGTGTGTATAGTATTTTTTTGGGCCATGGATTTTTCATTAAAGTCGTCGTCGGAATTCCGATTAGACGAGTAAAATTATATATATAGCGACTGTTAACACGTAACGCATATATAACTGGTGTAGTGTAATGATAATTGTAACAATTATATTTATGGGCACATTAATGTCGTGATAACTGACGATGTAAATTGTATTTATAACCAGAAGAGTTGATAATTATTAATACATGGGAAATAAATGGAACCCTCGGCATTGCAACTGAACTGAACAATCCACAAATTCGAAACAATTGTCGCCCGAACTTATACGGGATGCCATTTATTTCCTACCAATCCGATAAAGTATAAAGTATCGTCAGTCGTCATTTATACCGAACTTGACGATATTTAAGAATTACATTCGACCACAAAGATGAAACATAAATGAAACACACGAGCCTTCCTTTGAATGGTAATCCCTTTTTAATCTGACGATGAAATTAATCAAGAATCCGGCCATATTTTGAGACTTCTTGCGCGACCATAGACTTTAACGATTAAGATTAACGAAACCGAGGTAGAAGTTCAATGGTAGAAGAGGTCTCCTAAAGAGGCTGTAAAACGTCGAAACAAAAAAAAAAAAAAAAAGTATATTACAAAGATATATTTGTCTTTCGCTGTTGTAAAATGTCAATTCCTTCGCGAGAAGACACGATCATGTGAGCGAGAAACTAATTAGATATCTATCGTTAAATTAACGTTTAAGCTGCAGCCTCCGTGCTAGGCGTTACACTATCTAGCTATCCGTTAAGATTTTTCTATTCATGAAGATGTTCGATCGTCGGATATTTTGCGTTTCTTTCTAGGGATAGAGACACGACGTTTTTGCTTTCTCTGGTGTTCGATGGATGGTTGAACACCCTGTGTGTGTACGGTCCTCTGATTCGGCCGTGGCACACGATTCGCTAAAATTGTTACGTGCGTGTGTGTGTATACATTTATTCTTGCGTATGTACGGTGTATAGAGATCGAACGATCGTCCAGCGTGCGACGTTCCATAGAGAATTTTGACTGTAAAACTCGATGTATTCTCGTAAGTCCGCACCAATAAAGACAGGCCTAACGGACTGCAGAATTTTCTTCTCTTGTTAGCCGTCTCTCTGACAATAGGTTACATTGAAAAATATGTTATTCATTCGAATCTTCTTTGAAATTCAAATTTTGCA